CGGGGGCCCGGAGCGAGCGGGGCTGCGCGCGCTCGGGCCGGCGCCGGGCGGGCCGGGCAAGCCCCCGACCCGGTCCCGAGAGGGGGAGCGGCCGGGACGCCCGGGGCAGGGGGCGCTCGCGGAGGCGGCGTGGGCCGGGCGGCGGTGGGGCGAGAGGACGGGGGCCCGGGCGGCGCCGCAGGAGGGGCGGGCAGCCGTCCGGGAAGGGGAAGATGTGTGCGGGGCGCGGGCGCCGAGCGGAGCGGGGTCTCCAGGGGAGGGCTCGGAGGAAAGCGGCTGCGGGGGAGTGACGGCAAAGCCCAGGCGGAGGGATGGGAGGTCTGCAGGATGCAGCAGAAGGGGAGACCGCCGACGCTGTCGAGGGCTGACCGTGTGGCCCAGTGGACTGGCTTGGGACGGTCCATACAAGGCCCCCAGGGAGGGCCAAGCGGCCTCAGGGCGGGGCTGGGATGCGGGCTGCAGACCCCGGACTCCCTCCCGCTCCTTGGGCCACTGCTGGCAGATCAGCGCTCAGAGTGACAGGGCTTTGGCACACCCCGAGGTCCGAGATGTAGCCCATCTGTGCGTTCAAGTTTGGGACTTTAAAAACTTTGTTGTGGTTAAAAAAAAAAAAAAATCCAAACAAGAACCTGGCTTGTTAAGAGAGCAAGATTTGTTCTTGTGCATGTCAGAACTAGAGTCTTGGATCGCCTGTCTCTTTGAAAAAGATACTGGTCTCCTCTACATCTTCTCCAAAATGCCTGCAGTGTCTAGGGAAGTTTGAAGCTTGAGATAGTATGGGATCCCGTGAGCTGCGTTGACTTTTCCTCCCCAGCCCCCAAAATGAGGGTGAGAAGGCAGCGGAGACCTCTCTTGGTTCAGAGCAGCAAACTCTCATTATGAGAGGGTGCCTTTCTGACCTGCAGCTGTCCCCTTCTCTGGAGTGGCTTAGGTATTTCCTCCTCCAGGAAGCTTTCCTTGACTAGGGGAGAAAACTGAGGACTCATGTCCTGACCCTTACATATCTGCCGACTCCCTTCTTTCTGCTAAAAATAGCCACAGAGAAAGTTGTATGTATGTTTTGCCATAAACATATGCAGTCGGTTGCCGTCATAAGTAATGGGAAGGGAGGAGGGGGATTATGGATAATTTCAAACAATGGCTGGACAAATCATTTATATTTAGCTAAGGAATGCAGCCAGAGGCAGATGATCGCACTGCTTCCCACCCTCTGCCTGGTCCTGGCGTGGCCGGTGGGGCTGGGCTGTGGTGGGTTGGGGTGAGGGAAGGAATAGGACTACGGTGGATAAAACTTGAAGTGTGATGCAGTTCTGCCCTCACCTACGGAAGACCCAGTGTGTGCAAAGCCCTGAATAGCTGAGAGTGAACCAGAAAGGAGTGGGATTTTTTTTTTTTTTGGTCCCACTTAATCAGATTTTAATCTTCGGGTGGGGCTCTTTAAATCTGTGAACAGATATTTAATATTAATAACAATAACTTGTGTTGATACAGTGATTTCTAGTTGGCCAAGTGTTTTCTATGCACATTAGCTGTATGTAATTTTGATTCGTATGTAATCGTATAAAGTTTATGCTACTTTTAATTGGCTTCTTAAAGGTTAGGAAAATGAAGCTCAGAGAGAATAAATATCTTCTGTAAGGTCACAAAGCTCGTTAAGTGAAAGAAGCTGGCTTCTGACCCCTCCTGCCTTGTGCTTTCTCGGTGCCATCCGCCTCTCTGCCCTTCTTTCATACTGAGCCTTCGCTTCGCCCTAACGCCACTTATTTGCGAAATCTCGGGCAACTTACTGCCCTTTTCCAACTCTCCGTTTTGGTGGGATATTGGATTAAAATGTTTCCAGAGTCTTCCAGCATCAGATAAATAACAGAATAAGATATCAGCAGCCAATCAGTCAATTAACAATGTGCTTTATTTTTAAAAAATTTTAATTGTGGTGAAAACCACAATGTAAAATTTATCATCTTAACCATTTTTAAGTGTATAGTTCAGTTGCATTAAGTCTGTTTGCATCGTTGTGCAGCAGATCTGCACAAACCGAAATTCTATATCCATTTTCCTTCCAAAACCGAAATTCTATATCCATTTTCCCTGCCTTCTAGCCTCTAGTAACCACCAGTCTACCTTCTGCTTTGTGTGCTTTATTAAGCTCCTACTATGTGCCGCCCTTGAGGAATTAATAAGGAGAGCTGTGAGAAGCAGCCCAGCTTAAATGGGAGCTCCTTCGGCCTGGGGCGGCTGGCAGGAGTGTCCTCCCTCAACCCTGTGTCTGTGATCCCAGCACTGTGAAGGGAATGAGGGTGCCTTCACCTCTTCCAGCCTCAGCTTCTTGGCTGCAGAATGGGGATAACAGTACCAAGTTCTCAGGGCTGTGGGAAGGAGCTGTGAGATAATGTATGTGAAGCGCGTAGCTTAGGGCCTCATATACAGCAGGTGTGCAGTAAATGGTGGCTGTTATTTATAACCTAGCTGGGGAGACTGGGCTGATATGCTTGGAACAGGAGAGGACAAGCCTTCTTTTCTTCTCCCGTGAAGGCCCAGGCCTGCTGTGGTTGTCATCCCCACTGACTAAGAGGGAGTGGATCCTATCCAGGTGCTTCGCTTGGCACTCAGAGTCCTTCCTGCCCGGCGCAGCCTGCTTGGCGAGCCTCCTTGCCCACTCTGCTCCCGCCAGGAGCTCGGCTCTAGCCACGCTGATCTACCGTGTGCTTTTGCCCATTCCTTCTCGGCCCCTTAGTGCGTCCACTTCCACTCTCCTGCAGTGCCCTTCCCTGTTCCATGGGACCTGCCACGACTGAGCTCCTGTCACGGAGCGTTCCCGGGCCACCCATCCCAAGTGAACCTCTTTGTCCTTGGAACTCCTCTGGCGTTTTCTGTCTTCACTTGTCTCCTGCCTGTGATGCACCTCCTTGGGTGATTCTTTAGTGAATTCCACAGTGTGGGGTGTGTGTGATATACACGAGTCTATGCTGAGTTCTGATGATGCAAAAATAAAAAAGGTAAACGTCCCTGTCTTCGTGGGGCTTGTAATCTGTAAGAGGTTAAGAAAGGGGTCCGAAAAATGATAATCGAAGTACAAGGCAGGTGGCTTCTGAGAGCACAGTGTTATGGGTTCAAACAGGGGGATCAGTCACCCTGATGGGGGAGCAACACTTCATGCAGCCAGCGGTGGTGGACACGAACCTCCAAGGGTGGCTTGCATTTCGGCCGAGGGAGGACGGATCGGCCTGAGGACAGGTGCTGAGGAAGTACTGGGGTGTGCGAATGGGCCAGGTGGGCCAGTGCGTGGGATGTGTGCGGGGAAGCTGCTAGGGAAAAGGCTGGACAGGTAGACAGTGGCCATGTTGTCGGTGGCCTCAACTCTCCAGCCACGGAACTCCGTCTGTCCAGTCGTTCATTCAGGAGAAACTGAGTGCCCCCCGTGTGCAGGCATTAAGCTGGTGCCGTGGGGACAGCAGTCAGCCTTGGGGGCCCTGGAAACTACGCAGGTTTTTGAGTAGGGGTTACGGAAGCAGGGCTAGGCTTAAGGAGGGTGAGTCTGGGGTCTGAAGAGGAGAAGTCGGGGAGAGTGGCTGGGCAGGTGAGGAGTGCTGGGCAGGCAGTGAACCCCAGCAGGATCAGGGTCAGTGGAAGTAGGGACAGGACCTTGTGAGCTGAGTGGCTGGAGCGGTGGGGAAAGGGTGAAGGGGATGCAAGGTGACTGTGAAAATGCCCTTTGCTGCTTCTGTTCCATCCTTCCCCTCCTTCAAGACCTTGGAGAGGGTAATTCTCTCCTGGCCCAATTTAAGGAGCTTATAAATCAAAAGTGAGAGCAGAGGGCTCACATCTGAGCTCCTTGCATGGAGCATTCCTGGCCACCTATGCCAAACAACCTCTTTTTCCTTGGAACTCCTGTGGCATTTTCTGTCTGCACTTGTCTCCTGGCTTCGATGCACCTCCTTGGGTGGTTCTCTGGTGCGTTCCGCACACTGTGTGATACATGACGAGAGTCCAACGTGATTTTAAGTCCTTCTGGGGCATGGGTTCTGACGGCCTCTGATGATCCCGGACCCTGCACTCGCTGCTGAGAGACACACCTGGGACAGAGTCGGCACAGCGCGGGCCCCTGATGTTCTTATGAGTCACGTACCTTCTCTCATACCAAATTCACGTCCACAGCAATACTTGTACACGGGCCTGGCTTTCTCTGGAGTCATGTTTCCGCAGAGAGTCAAGTGTTTCCTGTATATGTCCTCACACCCCAGGTTAGCTGCCCTTTCAACTTCTGCTGCAGTTTTCCCTCTTACTCGATGGCCATTTCCACCAAGTGTTTGCTGTCCCGCGAGAGCAGCTTTGGATGGTAGAGATGAGAACAGCAGCCGCCTGTGCCTTCACCCCAGCCTCACAGCCAGTGTGAACCAGACGCGTTTCTCACTAAAGTTGTATACATTTTTACGTATCTTGAAACTTTGGGTCACTGGTGAGTGGTCACAATTGTAAATGTTAAATCCTTGGATGCCAGGGTACGTGTAGCCCAGGGATGGCAGATAGGTGGCGTGGACTCTGCTACTTCTGTAACTGCCCCTAGCAGACATCACTAATCGATTGCTGCTATTTTCCTGCAGAGCAGGGCTTGGGTTCTCCTCATAATGCTTTGGGTACCCACCGCTAGCTGAGTGGGATTGGCACAGCAGCTGGACCTGTTTGCCATTTCTGGCCTGTTCTTGGTGGGAGACTCCTGCTCCAAAAAGTGGTCATTGCTGGACAGAATTCACCCTAGAGTGGCTTCATACCAAAGTGATGACCTAATATTTTTATTTTCCTGCAGGAATATCCTGGGATCTTCTCTTATTTGTCAGCCGCCAAAGTGATTACAGGAAATTGAAAGAAAACAGGTCAGTGTCAGTCTTGGCCTATTGTGAGGCAGGGGCTCTGAAAGTCTGTGTGTTATAAGCTCTGTGCCAAGCACGGCGGCTCACGCCTGTAATCCCAGCACTTTGGGAGGTTGAGGTGGGAGATCGCTTGAGCCTAGGAGTTCGAGGCTGCGGTGAGCTGTGATTGCGCCACTGCACTGCAAACAAACTCTGTCTAAAGTCAAGGTCTCTCTTGCCCTTTCACTGTGGGTTGGGGAGGCTAGACTAGGATGTTGACATTTCCTAGTTGCCCCTCTGCCCTCGCTTTTGATTTATAAGCTCCTTAAATTAGGCCAGGAGAGAATTACTCTCTCCAAACTGTTTTATTTTCTTTCTTTTTTCCTTTTTTAGCTCAACTCTATGGAATCCCTCCATTTCTGATTGGTGGCCGATGGTACTCTTAGATTCTTTCTGGGCCTCCCCATTTTTGTGGAGGAAGCTGAGGGAGAGGCCTGTAGCTTCCTGCTTCCTGTCTCCTCCCAGCAAGCTTGGGAGCGAGGGTGGAGGGGCCTCCCACCAGCAGGCCAGAAAAGAAACTGGGAACCCCTGGCCAGTCCTTGTGCCTCCGTTCCTCTATACCTGTGTGGCTGCAGGAATGCCCTGGGTCCTCTCCCTGCTCTGCCAGGCTCTGGGGTCCTGCTGGGGGCTTATTCTTTGTCCCTAGGCTTGCGCATCCAGGCCCTGCAGAGCTACTGTGGGCCAGAGCTGGGCCCGGTGGGGATGGTGCAGATTCAGGTTCCTTGGGGTACTGCTGCAAACCGAGGCCTTTTTATGTTTTAATTTATGTGCATTTTATCCCTGTGGCTTCTCCCTGCTGGGTGATTTGTCAGTCTCTTGGTTTCTGTGAACCCAGTGCTGTGGCTGGCAAGGAGGGAGAGGGGCAGAGTGGTGCTGGCTGGTGGTTTATCTTGCCGAAAGATTCCCTTGTCTGTGAGTTCCAGCAGGGATTATTTGGTGGCCCAAGAGGGGCCTCAGGTCTCTTACTGTCCTGCCATGCTTAGCACATTACACTCAGGATGCTGGTATTCATATTTGTCATCATCCTCAGACAGTTTCAGACCCTTTACATATGTCCACAGCTAATTTAATCTAATCGTACTAAGTTGCCACTTAAATCTCATTTAACTTTCACAAGAGTCCCTTGAGGTGGCTATCGTTTCTTTACAGCGGCAGCGGCGAGGGCCAGGAGCCCCTCTCCAGCGTTAGGTGGCTGCCGCCAGGTGCCGGGACTGCAGTGCCTGCCTTGCTTACCGAGGCCCTGCGGCCTGGGAATCCGCTGGGTCCCTCCCTGAGCCTGCTTGCAGCAGGAATGTGTGAGCTCCCATTTTGAGTCCTCCTCCCTCCTCCCTCCTCCCCGGGGCCTGCATGGGTGTCTCCTTTCATCCTCGCAGCTCTGGGATTTGGGGCACCGCCTGTCGTTGGACTGTGCATTGCAGTTGGGCACGGGGGCCTGGGCTGAGGAAAATCCGTCTGGTGAAGATCAGGTGGCAGAGGGGGCAGGACCTGAGGACAAGGGCGTGACAGTCCCGCTGCGTGGCACAGCCTCCGCCATCACAGAGCCTGTGGGGCCTGCTCCCGGTGGCCGTGCCACACAGAACTTGGTGGGGAGCTCCACGGGGTGCCCGCCTGGCCTTGGGGAGACAGATAGCTCCTGACATCACCAGCCATTTCCAGCCAGGTGACCAATGAGGGAGACCTGAGCGAAGGACTTTGCAGACAGGAAGCTTATCCTCTCCGGTGGCCGTGGCCTCCGAGGGCTTCGGTTTTGCCATTCTTGTCATGCTCTTGAGCCTCTGGAATGTGACCAGCTCTGGGGTGGGAGGTCCCCCTGGCTCGGCTCCTGCCTCTAACTGCAGGGTGACCTTTGGCAGGTTAATTGCTTTCCTAGGCCGGTTTCCTCACCCGCAGGGCTGGAGGCTGGGTGATCCATTGCCGAGGTTCCTTCGGGCTCTGAGTGGCCGAGGGCACGCTTGCTTTGTGGCTTCCAGTCCTGGGGCTTCCCTAATTGTTCTTCCTTTGGCCTGGAGGTGGACTGTGGAGGAAAGCATGGAGTTAATGAATAAACCGGAGGCCCTGATTTCTGATGGGAGCCAAGGGGTGCGGGCAGAGGTTGCTTACAGAGATGGTTGCCCCACACTCATTGGCGGGGTAGGGTTAGGGATCTGCTGCCTAATTTTGTCCTGTGCTGAGGGCTCTGCTGCTACTTTCATTTTAACTCTCTGCCTCCTGCCCTCTGCAGCGAAGAGTTGGAAGGCTCCATTGCTGGACCGCAGCCCTACAAGTTAATAATTCCAGCTTCGGTCTTAGCCACAGCATAATGAGCTGAGACTGCCTGGGTGCAGGAAGGCTTCCCAGCCCTTTCCCTGCTCTTGAACCAAAAACACAGAAACTCGGCTTGAACCAGGCTGGGCTCTTGAGAATGGGAGACGGAGGAGCCCCCCTGCTGGCTTCGTGCGCTTCATGCCCTGCGTGTCTCAGTCTGCACTTTGGAGCCACATGTCGATTTTTTTGGACATTGTTCACTGTTACCTGTGCCTTTGAATTCGCCACACCCCTGCCGCCCCACCTGTGTCTTCCCTCACCCCCGCCTTACAGTGGGTGGCTGGAAATTGATGATGCACTCAGTATTCGCTTCCTGAGAGCCTGTGGCCAGTTGTCCTCTCAGTGGTCCACATGTGTTAAAGCCTCTGACCTGGTGATGGGAACAGGAAAAGATGGGTGGAGAACGGTCCAGGGCGTCTGAAGAGGCAGGTAGCTCAGGGGGTTCCCCCTGGAGTCCCCTCCCCTTGTTGGGAAGGCTTGGCTGTCCCTGGAGGGCCCCGTGGTCTCTGGTGCAGGATCTTGGTGAGGCCTTGGCCTGGGCCCTGGTAGCTTAGGGCTGCTGCTAACCCTTACAGCACCTTTGTGCAAATTTAGAAAATGGCCCTTCTTCAGGTTACAAACAAAAATTAAAGCAAATATGTTATTGTACAACTGGAACAAAGTCTAACTCTGCCTGGGGCAGCCTCCTTGGGCCCTGGTGGGCGGTGACCTCGGCTGTGTGCACACTTGTGGGCACACCTCCCCCAGCCAGGGGGTGCATGTGTGTCTGGCAGCATACACAGCCTGGTCCTTCCACTCCCAGTGAGGGGAGTGTGTCAGGTTCAGAGTTGGGGGGAGGGCCTCTGAGAGCAGTGGGTGGCGAGGGAGGTGATGTCGGGTGGGGGGATACTCAGAGCAATGTTGGAACAGGGTACACAGCCTTACACACGTGTGTGTCTGTGTGTGTGTGTGCGCGCACGAGTGTGGCTGGGTGTGCCGTATGGGTTTGTGTGGGAGGGTGTTCTCCCGCGTTGTTGCGGGACTCAGTGGAGAGCCCACCTATGGCCTCGCCATAGGGCCGTATGTACCTGTGGTGTGAGTGCCTTCCGTAGCTGGCAGGTAAAACCTCAGCGCAGTAGCTGGTAGCCCTGTCTGTGGCCTCTCCTTTGGCCACCTGCCACGGTGTGGGGACTCAGCTCCCCAGCAAGCCCTAGGGGTGGCGCCAGGGACTGAGGGAGCAGACCCTGCCTCAGCAAGTCCCTGATGCCCCTTTGGGCCAGGCCTGACGGGAGGGCTCAGAAGGGCAGGGTGCCGGGCTGGGTTTGAATGGATCATGTATTTCTGGGTGTGTGAACATGCAGAGTGACATGTTTTGTTTTGGAGAAAATGAGGTAGAGGTCTGGGCTTGCAGTTTTCCACTTGTCTCAATCCTGGAAGATTCTAAACAGCTTTGTTTAAAAACTGGACATGTAGATTGCAGAGACCTGAGTGAGGAAGAGCTCTTGGGTCCCCCAGGAAGACAATTAGGTTTGAAGCCAGAGTTTGGATTTGTTGACTATTAGGAGTGCTGTCTGCAGCATGTGGGACCTGCGCGCGCACGTGTGTATGTGTGTGTGCACGTGCGTGTGTATGTGTATGTGGGGGGTGCTGACAGCATCACCCATGGTGTGAGTCACTCTAAATTAGCAGCAGTTCAGATTGGCTTCCACTGACTTGCTGTTGGGGATGGGTGGGGTTGGGAGGAAGCTCCGGGCTGGGACCGTCACCCACCATCCAGGCCGTGGGGGTGGCAGGGAGAGAAGGGGGTTGGAACTGCCCGTCTTGGCCTCCGCTGCGGGCCAACCTCCTGCTCCACCCAGGCCATGCCCACCTCCACCCTGACCTCCAAGTTCCCCAGCCAGCCCTGCGGCCACTCAGAGAGCCCCTTCCTTCACCTCCCCAATCCCACCCCTCCCTCGGCCCTAGCCCCGTTGTCCCTGAGTTTCTCTGTGGATCCACAGAGAGTTCCACCCAACCCTGCCCTTGACAGGACGGTGTCCTGCATCATCCTCCTTGCACTGGGGCACTGACTGCTCCTTACAGGAGACCGTCACGGCCACAGCCTGGCCACCAGGCAGGGGAGGGGGAGCCACCCAGGAGCCCCGGCTTCGGAGGCTGCGATGGGGTTCTTGTATTTGTCCCTGAACGGTGGAATGAGGGGATGAAAAGGGATGTTATAGGAAAAATTAGCTTGTAGCAGAATGCAAGGTGAATTTTCTAAAAGCATCTTTTTTTTTGGTTGCAAAAATAGTACAAACTCATTATAATATTCAAACACTACATAAACTTCAGAAAAGGAAAATCTCCCATAATCCTACCCTTCAGAGATAATCACCGATAGATAATACTTTGGTTTGTATTCTTTCCGGATATTTTTATGATAGACTAGCATCCAGCCATCCACCGATCCATCTTCTCCATTTCCGTAATAGAATTGTTTTCGACTTACTGTGTTGCCACCTCTTTAGTCATCTTCCCGCGTCGGTGCATGCGGAGCGACCTCATTCTTCTCAATGGCTGCGTAGACTTGCTGAATGCGTTTTGTTTCAATTATCTATGCTGCATAATAGACCACCCCCAAATTGAGTGGATTAACACAACCACCCTTTTATTCGCTCCCATACCGTGGGGCAGCCATCCAG